GTCATGATCCGGGAATAACGGAAAAATCCGTCAACAATTCAGTGTGTAAATAATGGCCTAACAATTAGTATGAAAAACGTCAGTCAGCATTTGACTCAATGATAAATTGTATTTGTTGACAAGGTCATTGTGTCGACCATAGAACTTACGAAATGATGACTTTAAACGAGACTGCTGATATTCTTGTTTCTTGTTAAATTGAAAATTCATCATATTTCTTTAAGTCTTCTGAATGTATATATTTACAAAACCTTATAAACTTTTGATTTTAGTTTTCAAAAATTCAATAATCAATTATCGACAAATATTCACAAAAAGTACATTATTTTAGTTTCTACGTGATTTTACTTGTACGTTTTTAGTTAAACACTATCATTTGATAACGCATCTTAACTCTTCATCTGGTTTATGGCGATGAATAAAACAAGGACACTTGAAAAATTTTCTTATTATAGGCTTGAGGTCATTGAAGTAAAGGAAATGTGATCTTTTTAAAAGGGATGAATTTTCATACTGTGTAAAAAAGAAAATAGTTGCAAAGTTTTGGTACGAATAAAATAGATTGAAATATTTTAATTTTGTATTTGTACAAAATGAAATAATCATGTGTGCAATTTTTTTTAATACACTAAACGGAGATAAAATGTGATTTTGAATATATCAAATAAATTTAACATAAATTTACAAAATTCAATGTCAAACATCCTCGAATTGAAAATTACTATTTTTGGATGACAAATATTAAGCATGCTGATTACATAATCTTTCAATGAAAAGTTATAACAAATTATTTTATTAAACAAAACAATTACATCATCTATGCGCGTAATCATAGGAATAAAAGTTAATTCCGGCTTATTTACTTAAATGATATTTATACAGAGAGAGATATCCTCAATGATTATTTTTTGAAAAATGAAGATAAAGAGGGAAAAGGTACTTAGGATAAAAAAACAGATTGACAATATATTGTACATGTAGCACCAGAGAACAGATTAAAAAATCATCAAAAACAAACAAAACATTAAAACAGCAAATAAACAAACAAAACAAAACGAAAAACAGAACAAAAACACAAAACAAAACAGAACAAAACAAATAGAAAGAAAAAAAAAACAAGAGACCCATTGGACAAAACGCTCACATGAGTCAATATGGCCCTGCTGTTCTTCATCAGCAGATTTCTTCTCCTATTTATTCATTATTATGTAAAGCTTTGGTCGCCTGTTCTAGCCACACCCTACCCTCAGGTGCCGTGTTTTGAATGAAATTGAATCTAAACTATCTGAGGATGCTTCTATATTCATTGACTAATCATGGCTTTGGTGTTCTTGAAAACAGAATTTTATAGATGTCTGCTACCCTACCCTTGGGGGGTGGGGGTGGTTTTGATTTGAATAAACTTGAATATACAGTACCTGGGGATGCTTCCATATCAATATGACTAATCATGGCTATATCCTGTTCTTGAGAAGAAGATTTTTAAATATATTTCTAATGTATGTTCACTTGCAAAGCTTTGTTCCCCCATTATGACCCCAATACTACTGCGGGATGACTTTAACAAACTTGAATATACAATAAATCGGGATGCTTCCATATCAATATGACTATTCATGGCTTTCTTATTCTTGAAAAGATTTTCCCTATATATTCGTATGTAAAACTTGTGGCCCCACCCTACCCCAGGGGTCATGATTTGAACAAACTTGAATCTACACTACCTGATGATGCTTCCACACATGTATAAATATGACTAATTGTGACTTTGTTGTTCTTGAGAGGAAAATTTTGAAAGATTTTTTTTGCTACATATTCCGATGTAAAACTTTGAACCCCCACTGTGGCCCTGGGGCTCATGATTTGAACAAAATTGAATCTAAACTAGCTGAGGATGCTTCAATATCAATATGACTAATCCTGGATTTGTTGTTCTTGAGAAAAAGATTTTTAAATGTGTTTTTCCCATAAATTTCTATGTAAAACTTTGAACCCCATTGAATCCCCAATCTTCCCCCTGGGGTCATAATTTGAACAAACTTGAATCTTCGCCATATAATGTAGGTTTCACATAAGTTTCAACTTATCTGGTCCAATGGTTTTTGGGAAGAATATTTTTAAAAGATTACATCAAATTTTCACCAATTCTTTACTACAGTGTATCTCCCTTTGAAAGAGGGCGTTGATCTTCTTTTGAATAACCTTGATTTCCATTCACCCAAGAATTCTTTGTGACAAGTTTGGTCGAAATTGGTCCAGTGGTTCTTGAGAAGAAATCGAAAATGTGAAAAGTTTACAGACGAATTGACAGACGGACAGACAGACAGACGCTAGACAAAATGTGATCAGAAAAGCTCACTTGAGCTTTCAGTACAGGTGAGCTAAGAACAGAAGTCTACTTATGGACAAAATATTGTTCTTCCAACAAATATTTTACAAACATGTATTAAATGGAGTATGGACTATTTTTTAATTTGTCTAAATTATTTTTTTCCTTTCCAATATCCTCTTTCTAAATATTAATGGCTTTTTTTCTTAATCTTAATAAAGCTGTCATAATTATAGCACAGAACTGAATTGATAAAATTACACAATTCGAATTTGTACATATAGCTAAACTTGTAAAGGATACTTTCTAATTTCCAGTTTCAGTTGTTTTTACTGTAAATATTTCTTTTTTTTTATTTTCGTTATTCCACCCTGCATTGTTGCAATGCGATATATATTTTTACATCTATTTTATAGAACCAATGAATTATATCAAACAATTGAACTTCTTCTAGCACTGTGATACTAAAATAAAACTAATTGTGAAGGCTTGACACTGTAAATTCATATTACATAGCACCATAATCCTTTTCTAACGTGACTGTGCTTACTAAATGATAAGCTAAAAATCAATCATGTATTACATGTACCTGTGTTGTCGCTTCTTAACCTCAAATACTTTATTAAGTAAAATTTCTGAAAACATAATATGATGAAAATTTTGAATAAATAAATAAATAAAAAATCTATCTACATCTGCAAATAAACAACTTTGTCAAACAGATTCAATTGACCAAAAATAAATTGATTTACTTCCACAGATCAAGAATACAAACAACTGCATTTCAAACAATATTTATCTTTAACCATTCACGTTTTCAATCTTATTTTGTATCTGTTTCCTTGAACCTTAGGTACTATATCCAAAAAAGTTCTCCTTCTGTTTTTAATTAATAAAATATCTTTATTTTTAGAATCTCTGTAGTAGGAAAAAAACCGTTTTCAAATGAAATCTTATGTCTAATGATTTAATGCATCTTTCCACCTTAGCTTTCATCGATATTTTTTGAATTTTTATCTTAAAAAAAATCCCCAAAGAACTCAATGCAATTTTCGTTCTTGAAATGCTATTTTTCAAAATTCCTATTGTTCGATCCTTTCTACACTTAAATGTTTTAATTAATATCAGAGTATTATATACCTGATGGATATTTAAGGATAGAGAATTAGAGTGTGACAAAAACTTAATCATGTATAGAAATTAAGGTTTGTCAATTAAAAACATCCAAGAGGATTATTTGAATAAGTTTCCTCTATGAAAATGTATTCAAGTCCTTGGACAAATGTAACGCTAAAATTAAACACATTTTTGAGATAAAGGGGAAGCAGGTGCTACAAAACCGGAATATATTCTTTAACGTAAATAATTAAACCAATTGCACTTAGGTCATCCAGGAAGAGAGCATGATCAAATATGCCACAATGGACATTGTACATCGTTTTTTTCCACATGACAAGGAGCACACGGCGGGTGTGACCGGTCGGCAGAGGATGCTCACTCCTCCATGGCACCTGATCCCCTCTAAATTTTGAGGTCCGTGTTTTTTTAATCGTTTTATTGGACTTTCGGGATTGAATACTGTTCGTTATCGTTATATTTCATCATTCTCTAATTGTTCATTAATTCAGTTGTTCATGTTTTTGTTCAAAATAAAGAATTATAATAATAAAAGTGAAATAAAGCTTTAATAAATGAAATTTATGTCTGTAAATTTAAAAAAAAGATCAGAATGGAACCGAACAAACAATCTTACAGACAGGAAATTCATACATATAATTACTAAAGAGATGAAAAAAAAAAAAAACAATATTACAATAACCTCTAGAAAAAAAAAGACGATGCTTAGATAAACTCGTTCTACAAATAAGTACCACCAAAGCTTTTTAACTTAATACTGTATACATGATTATTTTCGCACTTGCAACAATTTTGCCTTTACTCTAAATTCGCCAGTCACATTTCTGTTAAAGAAATTAACAGTTTTAAATTCGCCAACCTGTGTCTATGGCGAAAGGGACGAAAATAAAACGGGGCGAAAAATTCTCCTGTATATTGTTTTATCCAACATTTGAAATTTAAGTTATTTTATCACATGTACTAAATATCTGTGGGCATTTGACAAATAATGTACTTTTTTTCTGAAGCAGATGACATTCAAATTTTGTGTTAGAAATGTCCACAGTTTCACAATACCTATCTGTACCCTTAAATTCTTTGTTAAATCACTGGATTTTTTTTAAATGGATTAAAAAAAAGAAATATATACGGTCAAAACACATTTTTACCCCAAAAAGATAAAATTTTTAAATTCTCTAGAAATAAACACAAGTAACTATATTGTATAAAAAAAGCTGAATTAACAGAAAAAATCTTAAAATTTGGAAGTAGATTATCGGCAATGCTTGTTTCCGTGTCGGCACAAAATATTTAGATTTTCCGATATTTCAAGGAAGAGGACAAAATGTACAAAAGTGGTTCAATTTAATTTGAGTTTAGAATTTACTTACAACAAGCTTCCCCCATAACAATATTCATGTATTTTTATTTCATTGATGTTATTATTCTACACATAATATATAAAAGTGGATCCAGGGCAGAACTGTGCTCCAGGTTTTTTTTTTTTTTTTTTTTAAATCAAAATACAGACATAAAATGCACTTTTTCTCTTGAGCTCAAAATTATTAAAATTGTGAATTGAAGTCATCTTTCTGACGTCATGTATAACGTATCATGGAGTCATGGTTAATGAGAAAAGGTAATTTTTCAAGCCTGTGGATAACCCTTTTGTTTAGAAGATAACTGTTTATATCTCCATCAAAGTTTTATTTTGCGTGCAGATATTGGTTATTACAGAATAAAGTCCTTTCAATGACTTTTGACAATCAACGCATCACGATGAAAACTGTATCAGTGTACAATGTACAAAAGTTTTCTGTAACAACACATAATTGTATTGACATTTTTTTCTCAATGTAAGTCGTTCTGATTTTATCACTCCTCACTTTGAGAATCCCAATATTTTATCGCCATTTAAGGTGTCTCCCCCACATTGGCTATGTCATCATAGGAATAACTCGTACTCTTTCCACTCTCGTTAAAATTTGATGATTCTGGAGATGAAAGGGAATTATTAGGCGAAGAATAAAGAGCTGCCATATTTAATCTGCTATAATCGATCGATATATCACTATTTGTCTGAACAGGATCTATCTCTTCGTAATGGTGCTCTGCCTTTTGATCCGAGATTTTCCTTTGATTGTCTTTGCTCGTTTTAGATAAACAACATTTCCTTGTTCTTTTGCAGACATATGCCAATATTAGTGTTAGAAAAATAAAATTTACTCCAAATATGCCCAACAGAATGGGATTTTTGAAAATTTCTTTCGTGCTTGATGCACCATCTTTTACTTTTTGCTGGGCAGAGTTTAGCGTTGAAGATCCCGTCAATGTTGCGTTGAGATAGTCCAAACTTTCTTTACTTTTGACCGGTGAGGTGCTAACAGACTGTATTTCTGTCAATCGAAAGGATTGATAATCTTTCGATAAAATATATTATTTTATGAAAATTTAAGGAATATTTATCAAATGCATGATAAAACTAAAGTAAAATTTAACCAATATAAATAAAACTCTATTTATTTTTATCAATATAATTGTAAATATAAATACTTAAGTAAATGTATCCCCCCCCCCCACCCCAATGATGAATTTCTCTAAATAAATTGTAAAAGTGTTTGGTGAACGGGGAATGATTGGATAGATACTATTACCAGTAGTTGTCTGTTTACATCCTGTTGCTATATTACACAACTCCTCTGGACATTTACATTCACCCTCGAGGCATTTTCTACCATAGTACGGATAGGAACACTCTCTTGTGCAGTTTGCACCATGGTATCCAGGCGAACACGCTCATAAAATGGAGTAGACATTAACTTCATATATTTGTAAATTCCTTTTCAATAAATACAGGAAACATAATTACTGTTTTATTATATTCAAAGCTCTATAAGAAAAGGCGTATAGTACTAACCAATACATTTGTTTTCTTCACTTAACATTTCTCCAGCACAGCATGGTCGGTAAAGCCTTTTCAAAACGAAAATAATATTGATTATAATTGTTGACACGGTGTGGGTATTAACGATTCATAAATACTTATTTGTAAGGGTGTGCCTTAGTACGCAACGACATATATTCGTGAGAAACATTACACGCGTTAAATCGGAACAAAATATTCAAATTTCTCATTGAATATGTTCTGATTTTATTGGAAGTCAATAGCAACAATTGTAAAAAAAAAAAAAAAAAAATAAATAAATAAAAGAATCATCAAATTTTGGATATTGTTGTATATTTATCTTCAATTCCAGGAAAGTTTGAATTAAAAAAGATCGATTGACTTGAATTCTTTAATGCTTTCAATTTAAACTTTTAAATATGACCATCAATAAAAATCTTCTTACCCATCACAAAAAGCGTAGACATTCCATTTTAACAAGCATAAAGTAATAGACAAAATTATGATAATAACTGTAACAGTTGTCATTTCTTTAATTGGTTATTTATTACTTGATTAAATTAGAAATATTAGTGTTCGTAATAATGACATTCAATCATTTCCTCATCACATGACAAAAACCATTTAGTTCCTCGAATTTTTTTCCCTAAAATTTCCCATTATTTTGTGTACTAATACTAAGTGCGGTAATCACTTTCCGGTTTTTATTTTGCACATATAACATTACCAACAATTAACGTCACGCGACAAATTGTTAACCATTAAAAGTTTGTATTTGAAAAATTCACTTTTAAGAAATATTAATAAATTAAAGAAAAGAAAAGAAAACCGTCTGTTTTTGATTAACGTTAAATTAGTGTGTGCTCCTGAGAATTGCTATGATTCATCCTAATCATTTCATCGCTAATCCAAAGTCTAGTATTCCAAGGCTAGTAAGTTTGTCCTGTTTACGTTTGGTTGCACTTTTTTATGAGTTATGATACAGTTTGCTATCTGCACTTTATTCAATTAAGCATAAATTATATATTTATAAACACACGCATGCCACTTAATATGACTTTAATATATACATGTATCTGTACCTCATAATCTTATTCTATGTAATGTGAATACATCATTACGATTTCCATTCACAGTGTGACACTTTTTTCATATCATATATTTAATCATTGCGATAATAGTTTAAAATACCATGACTTGTATGGCACATGTTTGACTACTGTAGTTTTAGAATTGATATAAAAAAAGATAGAAATAGCCTAATTTTTATCATTTAAAAATACCGAGTAGAAAATTAATGTTCTAGGTTGAAAAAAAAAAGAAAAGAAAATTGATATTTTAGACTTATATAAATGTTGTTTTTCATGAACTGACTACTAGTATGAAAATGTCTAAAATGTCTACTTTTTTAAATACGTAAAACAGACAATTGCAAAAAATGTTAGAGTTATTCCTTGGAAAATTGTCCCTCTTTTAAAAGGGTTATTAGATCTTACTTTATTAATATTACCCATTGTATTAAACTAGCTTAACATACCCAAGAAGAATATATACTTTGGAGGAATGTTTTCCGATAGGTCTCTCTCTCTCTCTCTCTCTCTCTCTCTCTCGTACACACACACACATTTGTTTCAAAAACCGTGAAAATAACAGCTTTAGTCATATTTACCGTATATAAGTTTAACTGCGAAGATTTTATTTTTTTTCATTCAAAGATTCACAGTGATGTCCTATAAAGTGAACAAATTGTAATTATTTATAAAGGTGATCGCTGAACATGAAAGGTAGCATTTTGAGCATCATAGAAATTTTACGTGTTTTTATGTTTTGAAAATTTAATATTTGTCATGTACAACAATATAGGTCTAAAAATATACACAAAACAGTTGTTCTTGGATAAATGCAATGAAAATGTCTAATCCGGATGTTGTGTAATCTAAAATTTTGCCTAATAGGATGTAAAATTTAAGCCTCTTTCAGTAAATTCAGTTGTTTAAAACGTTGTCTAATACGGAATGTTTTCTTATCCGACCAATGTCTTTGGAACCAGTGGTGTCCGGAGTAGACAAGTTTTACAGTACTCATAAAGAGAATTGAAAACATGATGTTGATGATTTTGCTTACAATGAAATATATGGGGATAACGAACAGTATTCAAGCTCAAAAGTTCATTAAACAATACGAAATAGGAGCAGAGCAAAGACGGACCTCTAAACATCAGAGGTGGGATCAGGTGCCATGGAGGAGTGAGCATCCCCTGCCGACGGGTCACACCCGCCGTGTGCCCCTTGTCATGATCGGGAAATAACGGAAAAATTCGTCGACAATTCAGTGTGTAAATAATGGCCTAACAATTAGTATGAAAAAAGTCAGTCAGCATTTGACTCAATGATAAATTGTATTTGCTGACAAGGTCATTGTATCGACCATAGAACTTACGAAATGATGACTTTAAACGAGACAGCTGATATTCTTGTTTCATCAACTTGTTTGTCAATAATTTACCTCGTTTTAGAAATTGTTCATACGTAGAGCATGCTCTTGCGTATCGAATCAACTGAGAGATATATACCCCGTATGCAGGTGATGAAGGTATATTGCTGCAAAAATAAGGGAAGTTGACGATTGAAAAGTTAAAGTCATCACGTTACAACTGGCAAAATAGATACAGTGTTGGAATTGTTTACCAGATTTGTAAAAAAAAAAATCCAATTTGTGCAATGGAACAACTGTGGCTGTTTTCCAGGCATCAACAAATGTACAATCATGTAGCTATAGTTCATTAAAAATAAAATGTAAAATATCACCTTTCTAATTAATCGACAACTTTTTAAGTTTTACAACAAACTATCAATGCAAGTGGCTTTTGAAGGTGTCATTTTGATAATTTCATTTGCAACGCATTTGAATGCATTCAAATGTTCGACCTTTGGTAAAAAAGAGTTAAACTGTTTACCATTTTCATGCCCTATACTACAGAAGAAATCATTAAACATTCAAACTAATAAATTCAAACGATATAATGGTACCATTGTCCTATTGTAATTGTTTTAATCGGGATCACATATCCTTTGGCTGAGAGATGCACTGATCAATTTCTTCTTTCATGAAATCCAGTTTCGTTTTCCTAATTTAGAGAGTATCAAGATTTCTGCTGTAAAGATTCCAGTTGTCTCTTCGTGTAGATAATCACGATTGTGCATCTCACTCAAAAATTTCCTCATTTTTTCATTCCTCTAAATTTACTTTTATCCATCATTCTTTAAATGTAAATGTTTGTCAATGACTTGTAAGAATTTCGTGTAAAATTCATTTCACATTTGTTTTACTTACTCAATTTCTTAATTTCATTCCAGTTGACTGCGTGGATATCTTTGTGGAATTAATTCAAATAGATATAATCAAGCAAGTATAGTCTAGGTCACAGCTCGTTTACATTTTGCCGTAATAACAACAAACAAAATCTTAATTCCAAACTTTAACTTAAAGCTTTGGCAATTAATTACGGTAAAGCTTGGTCTTGATGAACCAGGCATTTTTTTTTTTACATTTTGTATTCATTTGAGGCAAAAGTTAGTTTTAAACTTAAAGTTGCACAACATTATGGTTTTAGTTATATTTAAAAATGTTCTTAAGACTAGACGATGACACAGGAAAAGATAACAGAGAACAATTCATTTTAAGACAAATAATCCGAAAGTAAATTGTTTGAAAGTTAAGTTTAAAATTCATTTCTGAGCAGACAGACGGTTAACAGAGAAAAAGATTGGCAAGTTAAAATATTTTCAACCAATCAGAGCAAAGAAAATTAGATAATTAAAAAAGATATCACGGTTTAATTACATTTGCAACATCGTCATAATTTTGGTCCTCTATTTCTGGAGAGAACAATGACTTTAACGATTCATATGATGCTTCACTTTCTGTGGGAAAGAGCACTTGATGAACATTCTGTTGAATAATGTCGTAATGTTCACAACATCCAGAATTTACATATATTACGTCTGTTTGCTCATAGTCATGTTCAAGATGAATTTCGACGTGTTGCGATGGTTTATCACCACAACGATGTGGGACATGTTTATATGAACATATGGCAATGGCAAACAAAAGTGGCACTAGAGTGATCGAACCCAAAATATATGGGAATAAAATATTTTCTTTAACAAATTCTGTTTTATTTCTTGGTACCGTTGCGGAAGCTTCGGTTAGCGAAGGTGATGGAGATAGTCTATTTATCTTTTGTTGCATGTATTTTGAAGACAGTTTTGATGTTTTTGTTGATCTTTTCCCTACCATTGCGTCTGTTTTTGTTTTCACTGATGTTCTGTTTGTTTCTGAAAACAGAAAAAAGTTCTTCAAATAGCCATTTTAATGAATTAAAAATAGTCTCAGATACCCGAAGGAATCAAACCTACGAGTTGTAAGTAAGCCTGTCAAATAATTAGGTTAGCAGATGTATATACATGTACATATTTATATAAACAATGTCCCATTGTTTTACCGCCAACATTTATACCTCGGAAATTTTGACGCTATGACGGTTATTATTTTTTTTATTTTGGTACACGCCTTTTATTTTTAATATATTAACTGTTGATTGATTCTATTTAACTGCTTAATAGTAACAGAACGTTTATGCTTTTTTCTGATACAAAGTTCTAGACTCTGAGTATCGAATCACTAGTAACAACTTCCAGTCCATGTCGGGCGGCCCTGTAATCTAGTTAATAAAATGTATACACTTTGACTTCAGATCTGCCATATTCAACATTTGGTTAACGACGACGGACCTAATTCATTTCTGCAATAGATTTTTTATTCAAATTTTAATATGAGGTAAAGTGACTTTTGTGAGTTAAAATCAATAAAAAATCATATTGTCATCGATGTAGATTTTTAATGGGTTGGCGATGGAAATCGATAATTACTATAGGAAGTAATGGGCAATTGCCAGTGTAGGGTATAAGAGTGATAATTGAAAAAAAATCTGCAATAGAATTTTTATTCATATTAAAGGACAACGTTAAAAAGAAATTTACCAGCAAATTATGCCAAAAATTAAATGGGTCATCGGCTTAGATTTTTCAGGTGGGCATGTCAAACTCAGGTGTAGGGCACATTTTGGGCGAAATTTACAATGAAAATACCTTGGCCAAATAAATCATTTATTTATAAAATCAACAAATGAATATAAATCGGAATATTTAAAATATTTTTGAGCTTGAATATCTTTAAAAGAATTAAAAATGTATTTTTTTTTATCTTTTGCAATACATAATTAAGTCAACTTGATTCAATGCATATGCGCGGTCCTTAAATGAACCAAAACATAGTTATGTTCAGAGGGTATTTAGTTTTTCAGACCTAGAAAACTTGGATCCTATGCAAAAAAAAAAAAAAAAAAAAAAAAAAAAAAAAAAAAAAATTACTGCATGTAAACACAGCAAGACTTGATTTTTTCTTGATTTGTATCCCCTATAGAAAACCAATTTGGATTAGCTACCTTCCAATGA